TGAATCATAGAAAATGAGTGTTGGAAGGGACCTCAGGAGGTCACATCTAGTCCGGCCCACTGCTCAAAGCAGAACCAGCCCCAAGTAGATCGTCCCAGCCAGGGCTTAAAAACCTCCAAGAGCATCTGCCACCTCTGAAACCACCAGGACCTGTTTCACTGCTTTATTCTCCTCCTAGTTAGAAAACTGTTCCTCATATCTAACCTAAACTTCCCTTGCTGCAACTTGAGATGGTTGTGCCTTGTTCTGTCATCTGCCCCCATGGAAAAGAGTCTAGCTCTATCCTGTTTGTAATCACCCTTCACCTAATTGATGGCTGTAATTAATCCCCACCACCCCACACACACACACAGACTCTTCTCTTCTCCAGACTAAATAAGCCCAGTTCCCTCAGCTTCTCCTCAGATGTCATGTGCCCCAGTTCCCTAACCATTTTCATTGCCCTCTGCTGGACTCTCTCCCATTTGTCCACATCCTTTCTGTAGCAGGGGGCCCAAAACCAGACACCGTACTCCAGATGTAGCTCACCAGTGCCGAATAAAGGGGAAGAATTGCTTCCCTTGATCCGCTGGCCACACTCCTACCAGTGCAGCCCCGTATGCCAAGGGCACGCTGTTGGCTCATTCAGCTTATCATCCACAGTAGCCAGCAGGTCCTTTTCTGCAGTGCTGCTGCTTAGCCAGATGGTCCCCAAGCTGTGGCAGAGCATGGGATTGGTCTGTCCTAAATGCAGGACTTTGCACTTGTCCTTGTTGAATCTCATGAGATTTCTTTTGGTCCAATCCTCCAATTTGTCTAGGCTTCTCTGAATCCTAGGCCTACCCTGCAGTGCAGGTGGGTGCCATTTGCAGCCTTGCCAACAGTGGGCTCCATCGCATCGTCCAGATAGCTGATGAAGATGTTAGCTCATTAATAAAGATATTCTTCATCGTTAATGAAGATAAAGATATGCTGGAAGCCTACAGCTCTATTCTTCAGTTTAAGATGGAAGCAAAAACAAATATAACAATATTAGCAAATTGCCTGTCAAGAATGGAAGAGATGGAGGGATGCCACCAGAGGAGGTGCCCTGTTGGACCTAGTCCTGGCCGCA